ATTCATGGGTCCAAGTTCAAAAATTCTGTGTCAATGGTAAGCCGTTTAGCGATAAAATGTTTTTCGATAAATGAGCATCGTGTTCAAGAACAATTACGTTAACGTGGAATGAATCAGATTCGGTCTGACCTTTCTGGACTTCAGACGAATGACAGACTGCACCGTCAAAGGAATCAATAAAATTAATCTTAATATAATTGTGTCACTTCAATATTAAAGAAAATACATATTAATACTATGGATTTAGCACTTGAATTCGCTGAAGTAGTGTAAAAGAAAATTTTCAGCTTTTAAGTTTATCGAAAGTCGAATATGAGCAGTATTGCATTAGGCCACTTACAGACTACGAAAAAAAAGTTTTAGAAAAATATACATGTTTATTTTTGATGTGATAAGAAAAAACACCAAATGGGGCATATTTTTTAACAGAAAACACGGATGAAAGCCTTACACGCATGAACTTAGCTTGTTGAAAAGTATATGAGTTAACAGTATTTGCATTAAGAGTATTGCATAAGTATTAACTGTAAAGTGTATGAGTTAACAGTATTTCTTATTGAATCGTGTCTTTTCATACCAATTTCCACAAACAATTAGTTTTCGAAATCAGTTTAAAGAAAAGACTAGATCATCTCCAGTTATCCGTGGATTTATTCTCTAATTCTTCCTTACTAAAATTATAATGTAACTTGTAACTTCACGTTTTTCTTTCGAAAAAAAATCATGGGATCTCTGGAATAATTGCGACTGTGAATGAAGAGATACGGTGAGAATGAATATTTATCGCATGTTGCTTAATTAACGAAAACATTAAATTTAAAAATACCTTATTTACTTTACGCTTACTGAGGAGAAGGATTGGAATGAATAGCTTATTAAATTAATAGCTTCGTTCTAAATGTTTCTCTGTATTATTTGCTTCCTTCATCTTTCTGAAATCACGTCTTTAAAATCCCAAGAAATCAAGGAATTATCTTCATTAATGCATACCATCCCAGACCGGTTTTTCTTCTCAGTGTTACCACGTGCGATGTATCAGCGTTTGTTCTTTAACAATATTATTGGGAATATGTTGCCAAGATAATTACATAAGAGCTTATTCTGTGCGCGTCATTTAAAACCCTCGAAATTTATAAAAGAATGTACGTCTCTTTCAGAACAATCCCTTTTATTATTTTCGTCTACACTTTTTTTTTAATAAATTGCTTTAATTTTTGTACCCTCTGCTTCAATTACTTAATTGTTATAATGGTTTTTAACCGTAAAATTTTAACCTTAATTGTCACAACATAATTTATTTTAACCCAGATTTGTAAACGCTGTACAGTTTCTAAAAATACCTCATCTACAATGTACAAATCAACACCGTTTCTCTTCTAACAAAATAATATTATAATTGTTTACATATTAATTTCTACCTTCCCATTTCTTACATTTTTGTAGAACGTAGTCGAGGTTCTCTATATCTGTTGCGTGCAATAACCTAGCCCCATACGAATAATAATGTAAATGTATAATAATATCCAAAGCAAAAGAGAAATTCGTAACTGGCATATGCTATCTAAAATTTACATTTCTGATGTTAGGCGCCATACTGCGTGACACAAGGAACCGAGTCGTTGGCAGCTGTCAGTTATTTTCGTTTCGTGCCGTTCCCGTGGCCTTGAGCGCGGCGTGTGTGCCTAGGAGAAGGCGGCGACTGGTGCAATAGCGCGCCGCTGCGAGCGCGTCAGGTGGGTGGAAGCGATAACTGCTCGCCGGCGGAAGGAGGAGCCCGTTGGGCGAGGGTGGGGGCGGGGCCTCCAGGCTCCCGCCTCCCCTGGAGGCGCCAGGCACTCTCCAAAAACGCAGGCGAATTTATATTTAGATTTATTCAGTCAAAACGAACAGAAAAAACTATGTGACGTAGGGGGGGGGGAGATTATTTGCGCACGTTTTCTTGAGTTCCAGAATCTCTTGTCGTCATTTTAACTATAAATAATTGAAATGTGAGTAAAAGTTTACCTTAAATAAATAAATAAATTTTAAAACTCGTAGGATTGGCAATATTTGAAAAATAGTAATTTTCGTTTCTGAATTATACAAAACTTATTTGCACCGGTACACGAATTGCAAGTATGATGCGAAGGGAGGGGATTTTTATCCTTCCACACCACTTCGTTCCTTTCGTAATTAACGAATGATCTCGGACCGCATTTGCATTCCCTTGCTCCCTAACCGCAAGTTCCCATGTGTGAATTATTTTTTTGCGCTGTTTGCGTGATTTCACTCTGTTAACCTACTTCAGTATTTTAAGTCTTGTACATTCATTATTGATACGTTGGTAATTCGATAACTCGAAACTCGGAATAAATGGATGGTCAAAAATATTTAATTCATGGAACGAATTTACGGGACGGGAGAATGTCGGAGATCGGCTGCCTCTCCCCCCCCCCTCCGGACTTCGATGTTTTTGCTGGAAAAGTATTGATTTGATCCATAAAGAAAGCCATATCCTCATTTATGAATTCCACTCTTTGAAATGTTGAAAGGAAGGAAATGAGAAAAGAGAACTTTCCCAAATGCACTCGTAGACCCGATTTAAAAACCTTTTGACGAATCTTCTTTCATTTAAGGTCGTTTTTACGTGTAGGTCATTAGCGACCACTATTGCATTTAACGGTATGGTAACTGAGAAGATGACATATGGTGATGATACGGAGTGAAAGGACGATCACAAATACAACCATGTCCGAGGCGGGACTCTAACCCGCAATCCTTTGGTCCTAGATCGCAAAGGCACTGTTGCCTTAACAATCTTGACCACTGGACAGGCAAAATTGCATCTTTGTTCAAATTATTAGATGGAGGTTAATAAAAACGTAGCAGTTTTGATAAAACAATTCAATCAGTGAGAACGCGATGGAGTATTATAGCACCCGTGAGATACAATGTTTATCCTCATAAATTCATTTTTAAAATAACGCCTCAAAATATGTACATCTCTATTGTATTTAGAGTTCAATCGATTAACCTCGCTCTTCACTAAACATTTGTTCTAGGTTAGGTCTCTGAGTACTCTTCGGCTGTAGGGCTGAAAGATACAAAATGGTGTGCGCTTTGTTATAAATTTTAGAAAAACTTTGATTCATATTTCATTTATTGTTTGTAGCTCAACAACATTTAAAGACAGCCAAGGGTGGTGTTTATTTGTTCTGGAGGCGTTGAGATTCCGTCCTCAATTTCCCCATGGAGTAGCGGGGACTAGAAGCAACTCTCCCTCAAGAAACGCGACTGCAAAATTTGATCTTTTCCATTATTCCCTTGAAATTGTCATCACTGTGGAGTGATTCGTCCGTGACGATTACACTGTCCACGTAATTTTGTAGCTTTAGCATTGCGTCGGATTAACCAAGACCTCTCTCCCTTTCCCGTCGACAGTTGGGGAAGAGGTATTATATTATACTTGCACGTTTTCTTGAGCCCCGGGATACCTACCTCCACTCCTTTGTTCACATTAGTTGAATGAAGAATAATTTATAGCAACGAGCGTTATAGACAAAATCAGATAACCGGAAATGGTCGATACCATGTAATAGGAAATATTTTGTATCGAAAAACAAACTACAAATTTGGTATAAAATTCCTTTCGTCAAAATAACCAAAACTCCCCACTCTTCTCGCAACTAGCGAAGCGAAGGCTCAAGAAAACGTGCGCGGATAATACTAGGGAGTTTTTGCACGGCAAGTGTAGAGCATTCGAATGCCAACTCTATCTTCTGCACACGCGCAGATGCACAATGGTGATGCGAAACTCGAACTGCGCATGCGCACAATATTGAAAGTACTGTCGATTGCTATAACTCTTCGCCGTGCAAAATCTCCCTATTTGTACCTTTCTCTCAGTGCAGGTGAATCGTCAATGTCGATGTTTTCGAAAGATCTATTCTTCAAACATCAATTAATTAAGTTTGATATCGATGTTTTGATTTCGATATATCTACGTTTTCAATATTTTGTTAGTGAAGGAAAAGATAAAATATGAAATAACAGATGCCAATTCCTGTGTTCGAAAGAAACGAATACCCTGCCTTTAACGGGCAGTCTATTTCTCGTTCCAGAGATGACCCCGATTACCAGGTACTAATACTTCGTATGCCTTTCGCTCGCGGAGAGGCGGCGAACGCTTGCGTGGGAGGAGTAGGGCCTCCCCTTCTTCCAGAATCTTCTAAGGCGCCTTAAGCTTTCAGGCATTATTATTATTATTATTTTATAATATTATTATTATTATTAACTTGATTGGCCACATTGGACCACTTGAGTCGTTTCACTTCACTTTTACTGTTCATGGTCGACTGTCGAAGGTTTTCACCTTGAGGTGAGGATAAATCCTCGAGTTACAATTCTGAATGTTATTCAGAAAGATGATAATGAGAGACCATCCATGAGGATGATGGATGATAGGGGGTGAAAGGACGAACACAATACAACCATGCCCGAGGAGGGACTCGAACCCGGTACTCGAACTCGGTACGAGATCGCTACGGCACTATTGCCTTAGCGATGTCGGCCACCGGATAGGCAGTTAAGTATTAATTATATTAATTACTAACTAATAAACACGACAACTGTCTAATGAAAGTTTCCCCTTCGTGAACTCTGATGTTGGAGGTTAGTAAGATACTTTTAAAAACAACGGTGTTAAGAACCATCGGTTTGGGGGCAATGCATTAGTGACATCGATGTTTTAATTTTGAATATCGATGTTTTTCTATCGATGTGACATCCCTTCTGAAGTGAAGATGGCCATCGAGAGAGGGAATCTTCTCCACTACTTTTTGCACACTCGCAGTACAGTTAGTGAAGGATCCAAGATGGTGGCCAGGGGACTCCTCCCCCCTCCCCACGTTGAGGCAACATTTGTACTGTGATTTTATTCAATGTATTCTAAATAATTACCCTGTGTCTATATCATCGCATCCAGAGCAGTGTTGTCGCTATTTCAAGTTTGCTCCTAACTCATGGTGCGTGTGGCTGTGTTGCAGACGGGGACGACGGCGCTGTTCTTCGCGGCGCAGGGCGGCTTCGTGGACGTGGCGCAGCTGCTCATGGACCACGGCGCGCCCGTCGACGCCCCCAGCCTCGTGAGTCGGCCGCCTCCCTCCCAGCCTCTTTCTTCTCCTCTCCCTTCTTCAGCTCCTCCTGCGCCTTCGCCTCCGTTTCTTTTCGCTTTTACACCTCGTCCTATTTATCATGTCCTTCTCTGTCTCTCTCTCCCTCTCTCTCTCTTCTATTCTTCTTCCTTTTTTCTTCTCCTCACTCTTCCTTGTCTCCTCTTTCGTGTCCCCTCCCTTCTTCACCATCGTCTCCTACTACTTTCTCTTTTACATCTCGTCTTCCTCCTCCATCTTCATTTTTTCTTCTTCGTCTTCATATCCTTCTCCCTCTCTTTTTCTCTTCCTCTTCCGTTACCGCTTCTCCTCACTCTTCTTTGTCCCCTCCCTTCTTCACCATCGTCTTCTACTACTTTATCTTTTACACCTCCTCCTTCATCTTCATCTCTTCTCCTCCGTCTACCTCTTTCCCTCCTCATTCTTCACCTTCTTACCTCCTTTTTCTTATCTTCCTTTGTCTTTTCTTCCTTCTTCATCCTCGACTTTTTCTCCTCCTCTCATCTTCATCTTTCTCCTACTACTACTCATCTTTCTCCCTTTCTATACCTTTTTCCTTTTCTTGTGGTGCCATGCCCATAATAGGATACTGACGACCAAATAAGGAGAACTGACTTTGTTTTCCTGAACACTCGTGAAATGGGTTCTACATTCTCCAACCACTTTATTTTAACTCGACAATTTATAACGAGAAAAAGCTAAACGTACAGGTTGAACTCTTATAACGCCGTTCTACTGTAGGTCAAAAATGAACACAGATTATGAACCTTCATTGGCCCCGTTCACCGGACAACAATACGTAACTAGTATATGGGACTTACGTCTTCTGTTCTCTTGCCATAGTGAGCTACTGCCGAGGAATGGATGAAGAGATATTCAATCCTCGTTTCTGAAAATAAATATAATTTTTCTATATGCTACTAGGACCCAAGTGCCAGTCACATTCCCAGATTTATTATTGCTTTTTTTCGAGTAATGTAATGTTTTTATGTAAGTTCGCAGGGAGATGGCGTGACCTTTGCAAAAAATGAACATTCCAGGCATTCTCCCCTGAATAAATGAATGAATGAAGGTCTCAATAATGAGAGCTGAAATTTACTGTCACGGATGTGGCGTCTGCCTGAGAACACATGTACTCTGGAAGCTTTGAGCTGCAATTTATTTCCATGTCTCACAATGCCCTAGGAAACAGCGGAACCCCTGTTGATAATCATTTTGTTAAGCTTTAAATAAGAATCTATTTTTTTAAATAACAGTGAATACAAAACCTATAACATGTATTTTGTGCCTGTTGAAAGATAAGTAGGTAATGTAATGTTTGCTCAATTACCTTCATAATAGGTAATTCAACATATAGTGTAAATATCGTAGTACTAAAAATTTGAGACATTTATAACAATACTTAAATGAAACATTGTGAATAAAATAGGAGTTGGGGAAAATATTAAGGGTAACGTTCAAGATAATGTAAAATTGCGAGTTGCGAGAAAACATTGGACCACTTTCTTGCATTAACGATTTTTTATTGGAAAATCTCATTCCCGTCAATCGTCTAGTGAGATTTCTTTGCCAAGTTCAATGTATCTTTGATGTTCTAGGATGGAGGAACCCCCTTGTTTGTCGCATGCCAGTGCGGCCACCTTGATGTGGTGAAGGAGCTTATTCGAAGAGGTGCTCGAGTGAATTCATTTATGAAGGTATGACCTTGTTATTTATTAACATCTTAACCTAACCTTCGTCCAGTAAACATCTGTCTACTTCAAGGAACTTCTCACATATTTGATTAAAGAACAGATTCACATTCTGAGGAGCATATGTTCCCAGGGAAGAGACTTCAAGTAGAAATTGACTATTACCGTGAAAGTTCGAGCATAGATATTTTAAATATTCTATAATTTTCGTGATTAACGCAAAAATATTCACACTTAGAAAAGTTCAGACACCACCTCCATTACAGATTCAAAATGCATCTATTGGATGGTTATACACCAGGAATAACTTTTGATTCTTAATTAACGGGGTGAAAATCCTATATAAAAACAATACAGATAGAACTTGAATTAAAATGTCGAAATTTTATCTCGTACGTGATTCCAAATCTTGAAGTAAAGAATGCGGAACACTTCTATACAAGTCCTAAGACAATCATTAACTTAGGCATGACCTATATGATGCAATGCAGTTGCGAATCCCACACACACACTAAACTTCTAGTATTTCCAAAACAAACTGCTTACAGAAAATAACCAAATCCACCATCCATAACAGATAATAAAACTAGATCCGATCAGAGGTTTTGCTATAAGAATTTCCCAATCAGTCTTTGTAACGGTTAAGAATACCCCTGTGCCGAACTATTAGTTATAAAAAATCTATTATGATTTTAGAATTAGATTACGTTCTCCAAAATATAATTCGAAATTTAGAATTAGATTACGCTCTTCAAAATATAATTCGAAAATTCATGAAATCTGAAAAAAATCCGTAAACACAGTTTTAAAAAAATTAAGAAAAACTTATAGTAAATACTTATCTTTAACAACAGTTATACAGAAGTAATCACATCACGATAACGGGGATGGTCTAACGTAAACGTGAGATAAAAGTAATTTACGTAACAAGGCCGCGAATTACCTCGCGCTCGTGATGCGTGTACTGTTTTTTAACACGCCATGAGCGAAACGCATTGCGTAGAGTAAAGGAATATTAATTAAATATCAAATAACTACTTGAACAAATGTAAATGGATTCCCGTCGGTGTCGTAACACTTCTTAAAATTTTAATATTCATTATATTAATAGAATTTTTGATGTGTTTTTTCCGGGTCAAAGTGGTGTCTAATTCAATGTCTAAATATTTTATAGTTTCGTTTTTTGTCAGCCATGGAATTGGGGTATTAAATATTTTTACAGGGGGGGGGGAGGTTTACAAAGTGTAAAAATTTTGGCCTGACATTTGTTACAGATGTTTTTCACACGCTTCGAATTGGTTCGCACACTGTGAAAAAATTAGCTGTTTCGCAAACGGAAAACAAGCACGGGAAACTCATGCACGGCGTGTTCAAATGTTATAATTAATACCCCTGAAAGGCAGCAATGCCGATCAAGTGAAACATTTTTTTTTAAGTAACGCAAAATGCGTGTTCTTGTTCTAGTCACAGAAGAACTTCTAAACACGGGTGATCATGGCACATACTTTGGACGTATGTGAAGGGCTCGGGGTAAAAATTTACTTGTATCTGGAAGTTATACGGTTTGTTTCTGTAAACTTTTAAGTGGTGCTTATAAACGTTAACCACAGGGTTCCACAAGGCAAAAATTGAAGACTGATGTCTCGGTAAGCTCTTCCCCTTACGAGGAACGGACGATCTCCTCCCGGAAGTTGGTTGATATCTGAGATGCAATCGGGCTAAGCCTTTGTGAAGAAGCAAGAGGCTTCGGAAACCTTCACCGCGGCTTGCGCTCAGAACTCATCTGCCAAGTCAACGGGGCCAAAGGCGCTTAGCACATTAAATCCGAACTTGTGCCAGAATCATTTGAAAAAAGACTTATTTTCACATCCTTTGTCCCTCTCTTCCTGAATTTTGCGCCCTAGTCCCATAGCAAAGTCTGGCCTGGAAGTGTGTTCTAGGTGCAAATTTTCGAGGGAAAGCCAATGATTGTCCCACTTGAGAGTGTGATGTCCCTTCCTGGAAAGAATTAATTGCTAGAAGAAGTTAATTTACGTTTACCTTTGTTTTTACTCTTCGAACAAGAAGGTTTTGACTTTGGTTTCCCTCCAACCCGTGTAGTTCTATTACTTTCCGGCAGACAAGGGCAGTTTCAAACTGGAGATCGTGGCAATATTTTAATACAAGAACGTGATATATGTATTACTCTGCATGTTCGGAACGTTGAACTGAAAACACGGTCATTCATGTCAGTTGTGCGCCGTGCTTGTAACTTTCCCAGGAATATTCTCAGACCAGAGCGAAGTTTTCGTTTTTCTTGCCAATACGCAGATGTGGCAATACGCAATACGCGCCTCTGTAGTTCTGGACTGAATCAGGGCTGCTCAAATTCAAGAATTGGGACCCGATTTACTGCAGTGGCCAGCATGCCACCCACTCATCTTTCACTAGACTAGAGCCGATCGCCCCCTCCCCCGACGGGTTAACTCGACAAGCAATGGGCCAAACCGGTTGCCCACAGATAAACACTGACTCGGGGCACGTCAAGGGGGCGGCCATTAGACAAGCCGTGATTTAGAACATTCGCCGATAGCATTAGCCTTGGAACCATATTTCTGGCGGTGGCCCGCTGCCTCTCTCCATTCACTGGGCGAGAGACAAGCGCCTCCTTCCCCTCTTCCCAAACTCCACCCCTTCACCCTCCTCTCGGGTTGACTCGCCACACCGGTGGCCCACAGATCACCGCTGGCTGGGGGCACACCAAGAGGACCGCCCACTTGAGAAGCCCTACTTTCGGACATCAATCGGCTAATGATATAGAGGAGAAGGGATCACTTTGACAGATCGGAAAACTAATGAACGTCGTATACGGCGAAGGCATTTGATGAGACAGTGATGTAACCATTTACAAATAAGCTAAATGACGCACTGGCAAAATGATTGCAAGGACATTACCTGCAGTGATGTAGGCAGCAGTGGCTAAGCAGTATCTTGTCCAAGCGGTCCCTTCTTATAGCAATCTGTATATAGAATTAGCCATCGGGCCAGATTGCTCGCGGTGTCCCGTTACTACCTCTCGCTTTTCACAGAACGAGAACCGAGCGCCTCCCTCCCCTCGCCCTTAAGTCGGGTTGACTCGACAAGCAGCGGACCACAGATAAGCCCTGGGCCGCCCACTTGCCAAATCGCCACAAAATCCACTCATGTGCCGTTGGGTGACGTCTGTTTGTTGCAGGACCGCGCCACCCCGGTGTTCATCGCTGCTCAGAACGGCCACCTGAAAATTCTGCTGCTGCTGCTGGCGCAGAAGGCCGAGCCTGACACGCGCCGGACGGACGGAGCGACGCCGCTGTGGATTGCAGCCCAGATGGGCCATGACCACATCGTGCGACAGTTGCTCAGAGTAGGCGCCAAAGTGGACGCGGTGCGGCATGTGAGTCAGACTTGGTGCATTATGTTCTTATTAAACCATTAGGCCGATATAGAGCAAATAACAGACGCGGTTGCGGTTTATAAACCTAGGCGCGCGTTTGGACTTGGTTATAGGCCTAAACCTTGGTTGACGCCTTGGTTTACAATCTCCAAACGCGGCCGTTTATGCGAGATCGCTTGTGTTTAATAATTTACGTAATATAACCTTTCTATTAGAAACGAAATGCATAAATCTGTTTATATTTTCTTACCAATTAAAAAAATAATAAATTTGAAAAGATAAAATGAAATTGAGAAGTGATTGTGGAAATATTTCAATTTCTCTCTCAACATCCATCATCCATGATGTATTGAGATGTTTATTAAAGAGAGAAGCATTAACAATTGTACTTCTTTATTGTGGTTTTCTATTCTTCCAGGATGGTGCAACGCCTATTTTCAAAGCTGCTCACAAAGGACACACTGCCGTTATCGAAGAACTCCTTAAGTACAAACCCAACTTAGGACTCTTGCCAGTAAGTGTAATTGCTAATTCCATTTCGGGAATTTATTACGGGAATTGCTAATTTCATGTTCTCCAGTTCCATAAATTTTCCTTACCTTCTCCTTTTACAATTAGGTATTGAAAGAAAAATATGTATCAGATGTATATTCTGACTCTTGTTTACCGAAAAAATGGAAGTAAAATCTTTATCATAGTGTAAAAAAAACTCAAATCTAGCCTTTCTTAAGTAATTTGATTTCAAACATGCCAGGATATGATGCGAGTAAAAGTTTACGTGTGCTGGAGGGAAAAGACGCACACACCGTGAAAGACAGAAAGGGAATTCCTTCCAAAAATGTACACCACGGACTCGTAATCAAATGTACATTCTGAATCAAAAAACTAACATCAAAAGGAAAAGAATTCTCCAAACATCATAAATAACGCTTTCAAAACCGTCAATAATTGAACTTGCATACTTTGAATATCACGCAAAATTCTTAAAATTAAGATACAGCAAGTGTCAGTGGAAGACAGAAAATTGGGATTCCCCTCGGGACACCGCAGCGCTCGGCGACCAAACCTCCCACCCATTGGTTGCAGCACTAAAAGTCCTACTTTGAAGCGTAGGGTCAAAGAGTAAATGTAGTAAACACAGTAATAGAGGCAAGATCTAAGAGCGTAGTGCAATACCTGGGAGGGCTCCAGACACCGGAGAAAGCTGGACGTTCTTTGGTTTCAAAATAATTGTTTATACATCAATTTTGTTGCAATATCTTGAATATTGTTTATCATTATGTATGATATTATGAATATTGTATGTCATTAAAACGAGAATGTATATTCCTAACATATTATAAAATATTTTCCGATTGTCTGCGGGTTGTGCAACCTAAGCACGAGTCGCCATTGTATGAAACTAGTGGTGATAGAGAAGCACGTACTTTCACGCATTCTTAGTAACTGTTTCATAATACAATACTACTTGAACCCAAAAAGTGTTTTCAACCACACAGCAGTCTTTTTTCTACGCTGGGATTCGATCTTCAGGTTCTTACGTTGCATGTTCGTGCGTGCGTGGCAAGTGTGGGGGCGAGGAGACATGTGGAGGAGCGAACACAAAAAGTCCGTTTCTTTCAATTTTGCATAATCCCAATTTGTTTCATATTCACATGCTAAACGTTTAAGGATGCAAATATTATATAAGTTAGTCACGCGCGTGCAATAAATTAAAGGCTGTAAAATGTTTCTCACAGCACAAGCAACCCAAAATACCCGAACAAGCTACAAGCGTGCACGTGCGCAACCCCACGTGCAGAGCTCTGTGCACATACTCACGCATGCACACACACGCATACACACACAACACGCACACACACACACGCACACACATAGACCCTACATACAAAGTAAATTTCATCCCCAGAGGGCAAATAAAATCTAGTTTTTTCTCCGACAAGACTACTTCACGGCCTGCAAAGTTTGTTTAAGTGCGATATGCGTAAGCAGAGGGATGACCAGGAAGGGGGGGCTGCCCCCAAAAGTTTCAAAAAGGGCTCCATAGTCCTACATAATAAAAATAAATTATTGAATTTCATGAATATGATCGTTTTATTTATTTAACGTAAAAAACAACTTAAAATGTGTGTAATACACTATGGGGAGTAGTGTACTCTGTGCACATTTTCTAAAATTTTACTTCAGATCCTACCTAGACAAGTTGAATTATGAATAAAGGCGGAAACGAGCGATTTTGGCAAAAAATTGGTGAGAAAAATATTATCCTGTGAGTAATATCTATTTTCCAAAGGACATAATCTACAGATTTGGGTTATTATCCGCATCATGCCCTTCTTGAAGGAATTTACTTACTGCCATGAGAACCTGAATAACATTACTTTGGATAACCATATTACTGAACTATAAAATGTGCACAGATAATGAAGTTACATTTGTGTCCTGAATCAAAGAAAGGGCCATCTCTACATTTGCTCTCAAGGGATCAGGGAAACTGGATAAAAAACCTGATTGAGATGAGGGTCATTGACTCAGAAGAAGAGGTTCAATTCTCTTTCAGCGTAATTCTTTCGAATTGTACAGTCCAAATGATAATTCATTCCTTTAATATCATTTTTTAAATCAATATTACTTTCCTTTTGATGCTTGGTGTAATCTTTGGTTATATAGAAACAGTTTGGAAATAGCAAATATTTTACTGAGTTCTTGAACATCTGTGTAAAGTTTAATTGTTTAATGTCATCTGGCAGTGTTTAGATGATTTATGTGTGCATTTTTTGTAATGAAACTCTTGATGCTAACATCTGATGAATATGATTATTACAGCAAGTGGTTATAGTTTTAGATATCTGTGAAAATATGTTGCCCTCTTGAGTAATAAGTCAGTTTTGACCAAAGTCACCATTCATAATCCAAAAGGCAAGGCAATGAGGAATTCCTAGCTGATATAGAGAGGATTACAAGAATTACATGGATGGGATTTACTTAGTTATATCAGGCAATTCTTTTCTCTAACCTAAAGTCTGATGAGATATTGGATGTGGTCCCCTGAATATTATGACATGTCTTAAGCAGGAGTGAACATTCATGAAATAAATAATACATGCAAATGAATGCTGACTGAATTTTAAAGAATTCTGCCTGCATAGCAACAGAAAAAATAATTACTTCACCATCAGCACCCATACCAAATTATTTTTCATATTAAATATTGCAAATGGTTATTGAAATGTTAATCTGAATATTCTTTTGTTTTGCAGAATGGTGAAAGTGCTCTCCATGCTGCTGCTTTGTTTGGACAACTTTCAGCTGTAAAGCAACTCATGGCTGCTGGAGCAGACCCTAATTTACGTAACCAAGAAGGTGCAACTGCAGCCCAATTAGCAAAGGAGACAAATCACAATCATGTCGTAGAATACCTTGCCTCTGCCGAGTGGAAGCGTGGACAACAATTCACTGCCAATCGCCACAAAAGCTAGGGTCAATGAAATTGCAAAATGCTTAACCATGGATTGACTTGTGTTGTGACAGCTCATTTCTTGCACTTTCTTATTTCTTGAGACTGAGTTGCAACTGAATATGGTGTATAGTTTTACAAATGCTCCAAAAATAATTGCCTTCATCTTGGGATCAAAAGTGCAAAAAAACATGAGCATAGAATTGTCTTCTGAGAAATAGTATTGATAACATAGATCTACATTGCATTCGTAATTATGTATAAAATGTTTACAGCAAAGAATATAAGTTGAATACTGAACATATCAAAAGTATTATTGTGACTAACGCATTCAGAAAGAAGAAAAATGTTTTGTTGAATATGATACAAGCAGTATTGTTTATGAGATTGTTGTGAAACTGAGAATAAACTTTATTTATTTTTAGAAAATTATGCAGTAAGAGTGAATCTCAATTTTCTACCAGAATAATTTGACTGATAACAATTTGAAATTAATTTCTTTTGACAGAACATGTACAGGTATAAAAAGTTACAAGTCCTTGTATCTTCCAGAAACTGAAACTGCCAAACAAATGCAAGCAACATGAAAAATAAATTTCTGTAATAATTTGTGTACATTTCCAAGTTATTTTCAGCAATCATACTATGAATTTGTAAATCTCAACTGTTAATAAAAGAGAAATGTTCTTAAAAGCTTTCTTTAATTTCCTCCTATGCTTTCACGTAATACCATATTGCACTCATAATCATGAGTGTAGCCAGGATTGGGCAGCTATTGGCATTGGTACTCACCCTAGAAATTGGTAAGAAGTACAAAAATTAAATACACAAATTTTACCTAAGATATAAAATCTTCCTATAAGGTAAGATTTTTTATTGAAAATATAAGGCATAAAAAGTAGGTATATTAATAATACATTATTGTAAAATTTTTAAAACTTGACAACTTTGTCCATCCATTACAAGTGTCAGCTCTTAACATAAATCCTGGTACACTCGTGAATATAGCAGGAAGAATATTATATTGTAAATGAGAATGTGAATTCAAAATTTTCCAAGCCACATGTCAACTGTAAAGTATTATGTCAAATTAATCTAAAACTCTTATGTTTAGAAGTCATACTTTGAAATACAAATTAAAATTCCCCCCACACGCTGGAAGAAAGTTTGTGCCGACAAACAGTTGCAATTTGTTAGCAGTGACCTAGCTAAGCTTTTCCAGCATCCATCAGGCTTTCTCGTTTGAACACCACAAGCCAGATACTAGCCCACTTTGGAAGTAGGTGTGCATGTTAAGAAAAATTAACACTTCACCAACATTTCGATCAGTGAATTAAATAAAAAATGAAATATTTTGAAACACAATGGTTTTATTTATTCAAAAGAATGGCTAGTGTGCTGCAGTTCCACAGCAGGTAAGAAACAAGGGCCTCTGGCTGGAAGAATTTACAGGGTGGCAATTTTTTTGAAAATACGAAAAAATCAGGGGATTCCATTGGTCTGGAAAAATCAGGAAAAATAAGGTAATATCTTGAAGGATCTTTTGAAATCAGGAAAATTGTTTTATAAAATGAGTGACCACCCTGAATTTTGGAAAAACTTAGAAAAATGTATTTTGCATATTTATTTTTTCTTTATGAACAGGAGTTTCTTCAAACTCATCTGAGCTATACACTTTAGGAATGAATATATGTTGTTTTTTCATTTGAAAATCATGACTTATAATACCTAATTTCACAGCTTTTGCTGTAATCCAAGAGTTAATGACATTGCTTTTAAATCAATTCAAAGTCATATAATCCTGCTGAATTATATTATTTTTCTCTTTCGAATATTTGTTGTAGACAGCTATGATTTAATACGAGTGACTTGCAGCAGAAAAAATGCTGCTGATCAAAATCTCAAAACATAATTTTCTCTTAATGTAGCTTGCTGTAGCTTATCAAGAACAAATAAAATACTCTTGTAAACACTGCAACAAATTAAATATTTTAATAAAAACCTACTTCATAAATTCTACTGCAATAAATAGTCCAGTAATATGGTTACTCTGTTTACTCTATTATCACCTTACATAACAAGGTACAAAAAAGTTGGTATTCCATAATACTGTGTGTGAATAGCACGTATTTTATGGGGGTGGTCTCTTCCTTGAAGGCTTGCTGTCTCAAGATGTTGCCTGTGTTGAAAGCAGTGTTGTTCTGAATATGTGAATTCACTCAGAATGTGCAGTATGAGAATAGATGTTTTTGTATGCTTTTCACGAGTTCCTGGGTATATAACAAAATCACAGATCTCTCTCACGTAGTCAAAGGCTGCTTAGTTTTTTCTGATTTTCTGCATGGATTGGAAATTAGTGATACAGGGGTTTTTGCATTTCTCCCCTAGTTCTTGGGTATCTAACAAAACCATAGATAATTCTCACATGACTTGAGGCATTTAGTTTTTCCCCCAATTTCTGCATGTGTTGGAAATATGTAATAAGTAGTATTAATATTGATGTTGTCTGAAGCGGAACGTAAGAATATAGAAGTAGAATTCAGGGCGTTAATAAGATTATGTTGAATTAGAAGTAAAGTGTTTTGCTGGCAAAAAATACGCAATAACTATACATTTCTATCACCTATATCGCATGATAAACATTCATTTACAAGTTATTGTTGCCTAAAATGTACCAATGAAAAGATGACATGTCATCAGAATTCGACCCATGGTCATAACATAATAATTGATTATTGAAATACTGTGACACCATTTTCATTTCTAAACTGATATAGGAAACTCAGACTTGAAATATTTACAATGTTGACTACAACTACTAATAATGTCTTGTGTTTAGTTGATATTAATTTACCATTCAGCATTGTTCCTGATAATAGTGATCATGTACAATAATATTGATTAATTCCTTGACTTTCAGAATTTGAATCATGAATAATAAATTTGAGAAATGGATCACTTGTATCAGAAAGACACCTACAAATTGTTTTCAACCAAATTTATGTAATTCTACCATACCTAAAATGAACAGTCATAACCCTTGATGTCAGTCTCAATTAATTATGATCTTGTGAGTTTGTTTATAAAATTTAAGTCTAACCCATATTTTCTCACAGAGAATTGTTATTGGAAATAATCTAGTATTTTATTTTTTGAAGTTTATACTGCACATAAACTATATTTATTTCAATTTTACTGTTTAAAGTTTCATAAAATACTGTCCTGAAAGGGCACTGGGCATTCATGGGATCTTAAATGGTTATTTTAAAATTAAGTATGGTGGTAATTTTGTAAAATACACCAAAAAATTTCTATAGGCACAGTTTAAATTGAACATTTTTATTAATATGAATTGATGATGAATCATGACCATAGACATTTAAAACAAATGTTTTTTTGAGATTGACACAATATTAAAATTCCTGAATTGTATTCCTTACATATATTCATTGCATGTGAAGAAGTTTATTCTTAGGAACAAATAGGTCATGAGCCAAATCGGATGTTACAATAATAAATGTTGTCCCTTTTATATAAATAATTGGCACTTATGCCAGTTTGTGCTACAACCAAAAATGTTCACAATAGAACTCAGTGAAGATAATATGCACATTTCTTTCATTGGTACAATTACTTCTACGAGGCATAATCACTTTACATTCTTTGTACATTAACTGCAAAACAGATTCTAGAGATGAACGAATTCATTTGAAAGCTCTGAATTGTGCACAACAAACATTTCGGTGGTGCCGGTCCAGATGGCTGACATCGTTAAGGCAGTAGTCCTGTAGGGATCAGAGACTGAAGGATGGCGGGTTTGAGTTTCACCTAGGACATGGTAGTATTTGTATTTGTACTTTCACCCCCTATCATTACCATATCCTTTCTTCACAGCTACCATACCATTAAATGCAATAATGGTGGCTAATGACCTAGACATTGATGCGACCTTAAATAACAAAAAACACTTTGGTTTTCAATAGAGACATTGATTAAATTATACAAATGTTCTCAAAATTTGAATAGTTATACATGCATAGTACAAAAATTTAAGGAACACTAATGTTCTATGACCGGGTTAATTTCACCTATCACGTTAAATCTTTCTGACTGCATTCAAGAACATACAGTGCCTTACAAAAAGCTGCATTTGACGTGAGATATGATGTTCTACCCTGACAAATTTTTGTGAAGTACCCTAGTGTTATTTTTGAAATCGTGAACTGCCACTGATATAAATCTGAAAATATATATGTGCAGATTTCAAATGTATTTCAAGGAAGAAGTATTTTCAGTACATCTATGAAATTTTTAAAATATTGAAAAAAAAATATTACATTGAATTTTAAATCTGTATCTTCATAATGAGAATACAATTTTAGATGAGATGAGATCTATATGTTGTAATTGATAGGATATTAGAATACTTTGATAATTATTATTAGCTTGGTGGAGATCCCTTGCCCTCGATCTCAATTTTATGTTATTCTAGATTCTGTTAGGTATATTAAAAAATGAACAACAATTCTGTACTTCATTTTTAATTTTTTTTATTACAAATATCCATTTATTAATTTATGTAAATGGATGGAAAATACATCTGTAGATGCACTAATGTTATGTATTTCTTTGAAGTAAATTCTGTAATGCTTAAAAATTTGTTATCCAAGCCAGAAAAAAAAAGTTTAGCATATGAAAGTGATTTTCATTTTATGATACTCCTTTGTAAAGGAAATTAAAATAAAGTATTTCTTGCGTTCTTGCTGGTCAAAGAACTCTAATCAGAGAGCTGATACACCTGTGGTTAGCAAACATCAGTCTAGGTCTGTAGCCATGGAGCAAGTGCAGTAGTTGCCTCAATTTTTCTGTTTGCATTTCACTTATCTTTCACCTGATAAAGATTGATCAGTGCTCAGCAGTTATGTGCCACCTGTCCAGCCTACCAGCTGGATCCAACATGATTAGGGACAGACTCAAAGAACTTAAAGCTGTAAGTTTCTGTAGATTATCTTCCTGTATTGTATTTATGTTAATTTAATATGTTTAATGTAATGATGTGTATAATTACATTAATCTTAATTTCATTTCAATTGTTAAATGTTTAACAAATAGGATTATTTTTGTTGCATAAATAATAAACAATAGAGTTTATATCATTTCATAATGTATTAACAATTATAATTCTAGATATTATGATAATGGTGATAATATAATTTAATAAAAAGAATTTAAATTAGGTGTTAAAGAAGATTAGATATACAAGCTATTAAATAAGATTGGAGATATGAGGAATTATATAAGGAGATTAGATACATTAGGAATTAAATAACGTGATTAGATATATTAGAAATTAAATGAGATAATTTGAAAGTTATCGTTTCCTTTCTAAATACAAAAACTTTTAAAACTATATATTTCCTATACATTCAAACTATATCAGAATGCATATAATGTACACCTAGAGAGCTATGTATTCATATTGTGACAATTTTTTTCTGAGAATAAGATTTGGATTTTTTCCAGAAAGGAAATTAACATATAAATGTAAACGTTTAATAGACGGACTAGAGGAATTTTCTTGATGTTTTAATTTCATTTAATTCAAGGAATGTTCAGTTTTAATAATTGATAAAAAATTATTGAACCCAAAAGTAATAGACAAGCAATAAATTCACTTCCTCTGTGAACTCATTTCTTGCACTAAACTACAAAATGTATTGTCCTGGTTAAATTTCAGTACTCCCGAAACAATGATCGCCACGACTCTGTTATTGTGTTTAGTGATGACTTGGCACAAGACATTCATTCATTTCTCAAAGAGGTAAGAAATGTGAAATATTAAACCATGACACATTTCATTGTTGCAATAATAATGAATTAAAAAATATAATTTTGTAAATTAAAGTAAGGGAGAATTAATGATATGTTCCTGAAATAGTACATTAAAGATCTAAAAAGTGTAGGGAAGAGGGAGGCCAGAATGCATTTTTCTTTCACAATGCTGTAACTTAAATTATTTCTTTAATTTAAAGAATATTCTGTACCTGATGCAAACCTTAGTCTTTCAGCTTTACTGTCCTACATAAGCATTTTTAATACTTTCCTCAAATACATATTAAATACACCTTTTTAAGTCAAATGCATTTGACCCCTCTAGTTCTCCTTGGAAGCTATTGTGGACACACATAAACGCTATTGTTTTCTTCATTTGTATTTTTAATATACTCTAACACAACATTGTTTTATTAAAAAGAATTCTGAAGGCTTATGTATGCAATGTAAAGCCTTCTTCATTATTTCCTTACTGATATTACATCTTTTGGTTTTCCCAACATATGTTCCGACCATCTGAAATGAGAAAGAAGAAAGGTAACTAATTAAGAAAGACAGTGCTTACTTATTTAGCTCTCGAAAAGGAACAGATTATTTTATTATTCATTCAATAATTTTAGAACAATTATATTTAAGCTCAGGGCTGCTTTGAAACAATATGATACTGTGCCTGTAACTTTAACAAATCTTATATCGAGCTCTCCTAAACAGTGTAAAGTTGGTTATTTAATTACAAATCTTTGCATACGAGTGATTACATTTAGACACAGTATGAACAAACAATGTAAAATTTTGCTGTTCAATACTGTGGGGTTAGTGTAGACAGTCCAGTCAATGTCTACATTAACTTCCACCCTTCATTTTGAAGATTTTGCATCAGTATTACTTTATACTAAAATTAAAAATATTTTTACTGTGTTCAGAAGTTAATTATATCATCAAGTTTTTGTATAAAGAACTTTTAAAATCAATATTTTAGTTCAAAACTCTGTACTTACTTTTTTAATGGAATCACAACTTTTTCGAATTCAACAACAAAACACATTTTTTTCACCATTACACAACAACCACTGAAGATCTGCTGGATTAAACAGGACTGTGTGGTCAACGTGTAAGAAATAATTTTGACTGATTACATATGTTACCTAAGGCATAAGAACATTTATCCACAATAGCCCCCAGTCCACACTAGCCTCCCTTTCCCCTACATAATATTTTATTCTGTGCTTTTCAAAAATAAATTATGGGATGGATCTCTAACAGGTAGAGGCTATTCATGACATGTTGGACAATATTCGTGTGAACACTGCTGAAATCAGGACCTTATTTGGAATAATTCTCGGTATGCCAGGAGCACATGAAAGTAAGATTGATATCTGAATATTAAGCTCTACATAAAAGTTTGCTACTCCTGACAAATCCCATAATTATCTTTTGTAATTGTATTTCTGTCATATTTGTTTAATATATCATTTCTTCCCAGAGAAAAATTCAGAAGTAGCTGAGAGGCAAAGTATTGTGAACAACACAATACGTAATGTCAAAAGTAAACTCGAAAGTGAGTAGCAACATATGTTTTACATAGTGTCAACCTTAAACTTAATAAAAGTTGTTTTAGAAAAGAAGATTGACTAATTTTAATATCTCTGTATTTTATAATTTATATTAAAAATAACATAGACAGCACATTAAATTTTTTTTTTAAAAATTAGGTGAAATTATAAATATATGATTATTTTATAATTATCTCATAGAACTGGAAATCTCAATTAAAAGTGAAAAGAGGCCACCACAAATGCTCCATCGAATTCAGGTAATCCAAATGAACTCCCTCCATGAAATTCTGGCAAGACTGACACAAGATTACTTGAATATGCTCGCTATCCACAATGATAGATGTGCAGCCATAATGAAACGTCAGGTTGCAATAAGTAAGTAATTATTAAAATGATACATATAGGAGTATTTTCACAGCTCTTTTTTAGTTTTTCCAGTACCTTTGATAGAATATAGAATTACTTTCAAATTAATGAAGAAACTGTTGACAGGAGTGAAGGTAAGAAAATATAGAGAATGTGATAATAAACAGTAATAAAGTAATTTAAATTGCTTGATCTTACTTGTTTTGTACTAAAATTTCAGATTGTTGAAGAATTAAACCTTATTTAACAAAGAGATTATGATACCAATTTTTCACTGAAGAATTTCATTTGAAAAGTAATTCTGTCATTTAATTGTGATAGTAGACACCAAACTTAATGTGTTACCCTCTGGCATTGACCTATAGTTGTTTCTATTTTGTATATATATGTTATGCAACACGGTTTCAATTCTTATTACTTACTTTAACAAAGAAAACCTGGGTCAATAATAACGTTATTGGTCACAAAATCATTGTTGCAGATAAAACTCAATTAGTGTTCTCTCCATGTATTACACAGTACACAGAATTTAGATTTTGATATTAGATAAGTGATGTTACAATATTAAAAACTAAGGAATAGTACAGTGTAGGATTACAAAGATTTTTATTTCCGCAAATAGATGTTTCTGTTCTTTTAAACATCTCTTAAAAAGATGAAAATTATAGAACATCAAAAATTAATTTAATTAATATTACCATTTTTTAATATTCTATAAATATTCTCACTTGTTATGGATTTCAGGTAATCGTGAAGGTGAATTCCATAGTTTACTAGAGAAGGATGCCTCCATATTTGTGGATAATGTAAGATCAAAATATAAGTTCTGATGGATCACATTATCACACACTACAATTCAAGAATCCTTTTTTTAAGTAATGAAATGAATTTTTTCAGATAATTGCAGACACACTGGAGGCTCAACTTAAATTGAACATTATATCTAGTCGTCACGAGCAGTTCCAAAAAATTGAAGCTTCCATTCAAGAAATAAGAGATTTGTTTGTGGAACTAGCACTTCATGTTGAAACTCAAGTAATTGCAAGGATATATGATTCTTGGTATAACTAACGTCAAATCCACAATAAAATGTACATAATTTTTATTTAACAGGGAGAGAAAATGAACTGTATTCGATACTTAATAGAAAAATCAGAAGTATATACTGAAACAACTGCAGCTAAACTTGAAAAAGCTCGAGCTAGAGCTATAAGAAAGCGTCGGCGATGCCGAAAGGTAACCCTACAGTTCAAATACAAAAATAGCAATAATATTTCTCTAAAAATTATGACAAAAACCAAAATAGTGTGAGGATGAGCAGAAAAGGATGATCGAAATAGAATAATCAGATTTATTTCCAAGAAAGCATGATTCACTCACTCTTCTTGCATGTTAATGGTTCAAAATAATAGAATTACAAGAATACCGTTTTCCAAATTTTCAATTTTATTTTTTGCAAAAACTTAATGAAAAACAAAATTCTTGCTTTATTTTATCACTCTGAAATTGAAATGAAGTTTTCATAAACATTGTAGGTAGTTACACTTTCCTATCTAGTCCTAGTTATTCATAGCTATTCATTGCATTTACTAAAGCTATGAATAATTATTCACTTCAATTGAGTTCAACAATACAATGACTGCAATCAGATCTGAATTTTTTTTAAAAAAATAATGTAATAATGAATTGAATGAACTATAATTGGCTAAAATGAAAAATCACTAAAAAATGTAAAGAGTTATCTTCCAAATAGTAATTTTAGTCTCATTTTTAAAAACAACACATTAATCTTAAAATCATATTGGTAAAGGAATTTTAAATAAAATCATGAAATACATTTTAGACTAAGGAAAGCTTGGTTAAAAATTGATAAATGTAAATTATTTTTGTGTAGTTTTTTGAAACTGAAGAAAGTTAAAGAGTTTGTCCCTTCTTTTTTTTCTTTTTGCAGATAAAGCTGGTCCTTGGTTTAACAGCTACTATTTTTGGCTTGATTCTTCTTATTGTAATTTTTTGAAAGTCATACTTTTGTTATGTTTCAAATTCTTTGTGGTTTGTAATATTTTCAAATGATTTGATACTCCTAAAAAATGTATAATTTTTGTAAAACAAAATGCAAAATAACTTTATTTGTTTATTTAAATTTGTATGTGAAATAATTTATGCAATAATTTATATTTTGTACAAAAGTGTATATGATTTTAGTTAATAAAAATTCAATTTAATTTTTTATATTAAAAGAAATTACTTTAAAATGAATTATTAAATCTAAATGGTGACTGTACTGAGAAAGTAAATGATATCTCATTGCTTTAGACATTATGAATCAAGGGTCATGGGTTGGCTGATAAGTTCCACCATGTGGAGATACACTGACAGACACACAGAATGTCAAGGATACACTGAGTACATTCACTCCAGAAGGAATGTTAGCATGCACAATGAAGCATAACCAAATTATTTACAAGTAAAACTCAACAAGTAATTAGTAAAAATTTTGAATTGATTTCAAAGTAAATTTGTGCTGCAGTATTATTTAGTCACTGAGTTTTAACATTACAACAATCATGAATATTCTTCTACATCAAAACTTCAAAATAGGTGGGTTTTAGTACAGTAATTTCATTTTATCTTTTTTAAGCAATTTTTTTAGTGTGAAATATGTATGAGAGAACTGTTTGACCAATTGTTTTGTGAATGAATACTCTAAAAATAATAATTGTATAAAATAGGTACTAATAATATATTTCATGACTTACTAAATACAAACTCTGCTTTTAAACTATAGAAATAATATTTATCATATTTTATTCACAAAGAAAGTAAGTTTGCAAAGAATCATTATAACATTGACAGTTATAATTAACAAACTTTTTTCACATATGATCACTTGAAAAATAACAAGACTTAACAAAATTTTGCAGCAATATTTTAAATACAAAATAAAAGGACAGTAAAAAGATCACTGAATTAACTGCATCATTTAAATTAAAATTTTATTATCATATTTTACTACCATTCAAGAATCACAATTAAAAATGACTGATTGTGACTGTATAACTGATTTAACTGTTGTGAAAAAAGTGGTTAACAACAGTACCCTAGTGCTGGAAAATTTTTTGAAAATTTTCTTCTCAAACTAGTCCTGAAATTACCAGTAAATGATCAAAAATGAATTTAACTAACACAAAAGTCAAGAGTCATCTACTTTTGATTTCTTTACAATGCTACTAAGAGATAAAAAGTAATAATATGTGAAGTTTGTTAAATTCTTCCTTCTAATAAAATAGTATAACAGAAAAATTTGTTCCTTATGAAGGAAACTTGCATCATAGCCCTATCTCTTCCTCTTAACCAGCAGTTGTTAGAGGCCTGAAATGTTAGGTTGTTAATTTCTTATTATATAAATATATAAGTAAAGTTAAGGAGAAGAAGAATATAATTTGAATTTTTTCCCAATTTTTACCACAAAAAATTGTAGTAATTCTGAGATGAATACTGTGATTTTTATATCTCTTATTTGTCGATCATATCACATTGTAGAATTGCAGTCTCATGAATAATGATGATTTCACATAAATAGAAATTTACCTACTTATCTGAAAGATAACTAGTTTCACTGAGCATAATTTGATTTCAAAAATTTCACTTTGTCTAAAATAATATGGCTACATAAAAAAAGAACAAGGAAATATCATTATCTCCATCAAATGAATTTCACATTTGTGTTGGTAAGTTAAATAAAAACATACAACTTGTGTTTATTATTTAATTATGAAAGCCTCCCCATGTAAATTCAGATGTATGAAAGTAAGAAATATTTTTGCCATTTATTACATTAATAGTTTCTGAAAAGGAGTAAATAGCACTTTTTATTATTGAAGCTTAGAAAAAAGTTAGTAAAAATAGTGACAAATTAATAAATGGTTTTAATAGCAATTGCACAAGAAAATATTCTCTTACAACTAACATATTGTACTGTCAAATGTATTTCTGTCATATGTAATAGGTAGTAGGCCTCTTTACTTTCAAGAAAATTCAATTTTCCAAACACTGAACAAAAGCCCTGGCGTTTCTTCATTATAATAAAAAACAACACATTTCTGTAGAAATATAAGTACACTATTTTTATATTATATTTGGGAAAGTGTAAAAAGGAATACTTTAAAGCAATTTTTACAAAAATGTAGTTTACATTTTTTTATTACAAAGTCTGTTTCATTTAACAATTCATCTATATAAAATCTTGCTTCAAAATCTTTGGTTTTAGAAATTGTAGGAACATCATTATCCCCATATGGAGGTTACACATCAGAGATAACAATTATTTACCAATTTATTTCACCATCATGTTTTTTTCTTCTTCCATTAAGGCTATTCAAAACCAACTTTAAGAAAACTGAATTTTCTAAAATCTAACTCTTTGTGTTCTATTTTATATTTACTCAATTTTACTACAGTGTCTGTCATTTGATTTCGTTCTTGCATTTACTTTTAAATTGACAGTCTACTTGCACGAAACCTGAATTCAGTTTTGTTTTGCTTTACTTTATCGCTTTACTATTACTTACATAGTAAAGTCATGGATGAATTGTATAATCCTCCATGGTTAAGTACTGTATTGCTGTTGCAAAAAATCGACGATTTTTCGACAGAAAAAAATCGTAATGTCGACGCCTGGTTAAAAAAGAGTGAATAAATCTTAATTCTATATTTAGTAAGTGACTTCCTCAAACACGTCAGAATATTTCTTCCATTATCTTTCCCCTATGATCAGAATTCAAGTTTTGTGGATCCTTGGTCCTGAATAATCAATTGACGTTAATCGATTCACGGCCGTCCTTCCGAGAACAACATGAGTAGCTAAAGTATTCTTAGGAATTTTGCTTAATTAAATTGCCCCGTAATATAAACTCTGCCCGTCGATCTGAAGTGGCTCCAAACCCTTCGATTTTGAACATTGTATTTAATTGTTGAGTTACTTCAAATGAAGCCTTAGAGAATTTATCAATTCAACCACTAAAATTATCACCTTGTTACAATTCACTAAAACAGACGTATGATTTTTTTTTAATTTCCCGTATACGTACGTATATACGGAGTAATATACGAAGTATAAGGAAAGTTTTATAATGCTGCGGTAAATCAATTTCGAGATTTACGGAGACGGAAATCAATGTTTTGGGGTCCCTTGATACTGAAAAAGTGTTTTTTTTAATCCGTCCGTCCGTCCAATGTCTGAACATTACTAGCGCCTAAACCATGAGTAGGATTTTTTCCAAATTGAAAAAACCCCTGTCCATTTGGCTCGAGTCAAAAATTTGAGATATTGAAAAACATTCTTCAAAATTTGGGAGTACTTTACATGAAGCCCCTGGGACTTTTAAAACATTTTCTCAAAAACTGCTCCAAATTTTTTCCTTAAATTTCTTGTAAGAATAGAGTAACATGCACGTATAAATGTGGCACAAGTTCGATTTTCGCGCTTATCTCTGAATTTTCGAAAATTTTAAAAGTATCAATCATTGTCGGTGTCTTCCTTCAACTACAAAATTAAAGATAGAGAATCAAATTTAATTTGATGTCCGTAATTGGTTCTCTTATTAAAGTCATGTACATTCTTTTTAAAATTATAGTACTTTTCGCGCAATAGTGCGTGCAATATTTGCAGTTTTAAAAAATTTCAAAAATAAGCTTTTCTCAAAAAACGCATCAAATTTTTTCTTCAAACTTTTGGTAGGGATTTTGCTAAATGCACTATATAACATGACATAAACGCCATATTGCTCTATTCGTTTGTTTGTTTTTCAAAAATTACAAAAATGTATTTTTTACTCCTCTTAATATTTACATTAGCGGCAATTTCTTTACATTAGTGTATTTATGAGTATATGTGCTTTAAATAATGTGAGACAAAATTTCCCGAAACCTCTTCAGTTTTCCGTGAAAATGAGCTCGAAATTCCGCATTTTCAGAAACGCTCAAACACTATTTCTCAAAAACGCTTCACTTTTTTGAATCAAACTTTTCCAACAGATTGTGCTAATTGCACTGCTTAAAATGACAAAGAATTAATTTTGCTATATTCATTTGTTTTTAAAAATTACACAAATATAATTATTTGAAAGATTTAATATGTACATTTCCATCAATTTGTAAATACTATTACATTTTTTACTGTTAGTGTTTGACATGACGTCATACGACGTTTTTCGAAAACTGAATAGTTTTCTGTGAATAGAGGCTCAAATTTTAAATTTACAGTTGCGCTTAAATGCCATTTTCTTAAAAACGGCTCCGAAATTTTCAATAAATATTGCGTTTTGGGGACGAGGTTTGACTGTTCTTTAACATTTTAAAAGTAATAATTCGGTTCTACTAGAAAGACGAGAAATTAAGCAAATTTAAAAAAAAAATGTACTTTGGGTGGCGATAGATGGCAGCTGGCAAGTGTATGTGGCAAGTCCGAATAGCTTGCCGAGACCAATGAATATAGAAAACTAATACGGAAAAGTGTGTGCCATTCTGTAGCACCACTAGTTTAGATCTTTCATCTTTTATTTCATCTTCAACTTTGTCGTATTATCTTTTGTTGGTTACCGTTGAAAATTGTCAATTCATGCCTCTTTCAATATGTTTTTCAACACTTCTCGCTCGCCAAGCACCCTAGCAGTCAGCGCCTGGCCTGACTTTTCAAGTGAAGTGCCAGTGTTGTGGTCACGTACAGTGTTACCAGATGTGTTCAGAGGGTTTATGCCATGTTCGTTTCAGTTTCCGCCGAACATCCGGTGAACTGGTTTTAAATTTCCCGCCTAAATCCGCTAAACGTAAAATAAATTCTTTTTCCATATTTATATGTTGCATTAATATATTTTATTAAAACAAATGATAGAAAATAACGATAAAAAAGGACATATGCTTATGAATGCATGAAACAGATAAGGACAATTGCTTATTCTTGGTCATAGCCTTCGTTATTGGCGTATTCGAGCACTAATATTTGAAAATAATAATAATAATAATAATAATAATAATAATAATAATAATAATAATAATAATAATAATAATAATAATAAAGGAGAGCGTAGGCTTCCGCGGCCGGAGTCAGTATTTACTAGGCTGTCCGGATGACGCCGCGTCCGTGGCGAGGGTGCCGACGTTTCGGTCGCCATTCTGCGACCTTCCTCAGGGCGTAATGCGACCGAAACGTCGGCACCTTCGCCATGGACGCGGCGTCACCCGGACAGCCTAGTAAATAATAATAAAGGACGCACTAATGTAGACTGAATTATCTGTCTTATTATTATTTTAAAATGTTTCTGCTCGAACACTCTATATATGTCCAGGCCTTAATAGTAAAGATTTGAAATTCCGCTTATTTTCCACCGTCTTTATCAATTTCCGCCGTTTATTCCGCTGCCCGCGAAACTTTTTTTTTTACCGCCCTTCGAGTTCAAAATCCGCTGAAAACGGCGGGAATTCCGCCGATATGGCAACACTGGTCACGTATCTGTTGCGGCGCAGAACCAGCAAAACTGGGTGCGCCGGACTAGCTCATCCATGTCTTCCCATCGTGGTCCGCTGACAATCTAATTGACGCCGTTTCACGAACTGGAGTTGTTTGCATTGCAATCTGATATATTTTGCTATCCGCTTTATCTATCCGCTGCATTACTGTTTCTATACAATTACAGACTATAGTAATCATTTTTTAATTTTAACAAAACAGAGATATAAAATGAAATAGTTTACATTTGTATTGTGTATTTTTTTAAAATACTTAATATACTTTTAACAAATAATGTACTTCAGATTCTGGATCAATGACCCCCCCCCCCATCTCGATCAGGTTTTTGTCCAGTTTCCCTGATACATTGAGCAAATGCTAAGATGGCCCCTTGTTTTGCTTCTTTAGCTTCACTATGCGCATGTTTTGTTGAAGTCTTCTTTTGCTTATAATGGTAAGAGTAGAGGTAAGGGTGAGTTACTATTTTGTTAATAATGCAGAAAAATCAAATCTGCAGTCCGTTTACCGTTGCAAATATGTTTTCTATAACTCAAGAACAAAAAATGTCTGATTTTTCAAATATCGCTAATCTCCCGCTTTTTTAAAATTTTAATTTTATTTATGTTAAACTTTTACTAATATTTCAACTTTTTATAGTCAAAATGATGGGCAGAGATTCTGGGGAAAAAAATGTAAAGATGATCTTTTCCCCCATACGTCACATAGTTTTTACCGTTTTTGACTAAATATATCAAAATCTAAATCTTGAGACGTAAAATCGAATTTAAAAATTTCAAAGTTCTACAAAACATATGCTAAATTAATCATTTTAAGAAATGCACATAGCTTTTTTAAATAACTTATTTATTAAAACAATTAATTTAACAATAAAACCTATCATCAATACAGAGTGATTTAGTTCTCGTTGCTAATATGCCATATGTAATGTACAGACTGAATTTGCCAAAATTGGATACTCTTCGTCGTTTAGTTTTGTAAATAATTAACGTTAAACTTAAGACTATTCTGTAAGACGGGCTGCACAAGTGAGCAACTAATACTATCCGAGAAAACCCCTGAAGGAGCACAGACAAATACCACTTTATGCACCACATTCCGAATGGCGAACAATTTATGCGGAGAGATTACGACTTTCCATTTCATCATTTGCATCATTACGCATAGACACCACAAATTCGTCGTTTTCAATTCTTTTAGAAATTCCCCTTCGCAAAGCAAGAACTTCTTATAAGATAAAGCGTGTCTACAAGAACTAGCACACTTAATGAGGTACAATTTGAATGTAGGGCCGAGAAAAATCTCAGTAGTGTAGTTGTACGTAGTGTAGCTCAACAAGAGCTATTTTCTGTAAATGTGTCGGTTGACATTGAGGATAAATTTATCTTCAGTCATTTCTTACCCGACCGTTTGAAAGGCGATCAGTATCTGAACTTTATAACTCAGGTACTCCTAAAGCATTTGGAGCTGGGGTTAATGAAAGACTGCGTTTCTGCTACCGGAGTCGAGGATCGTGATGACCACCTTCGACGAATTGAAAGCGTGGCGGCAGAAATTTTGGTACAACCCGGCAAAGGTGGTGGGAGTCACAGAGGTCGGGCGGCGCAGATGCGTATCTTGCGTGAAAGCACGAGGCGACCATTTTTGAAGTTGACCATTGTAGAGCACCTATTACATGTCGTAAAAGTGCGAATTTTTAGCTGCCTGCGCAAAAATAAACTATCCAAAATAACACTTAAATAAGTGTTCTCTCTCTTCTTTCATTTTCTTTAGATAAGTAGGTAATAATAGCAATAGGGAACAATATTAATGTAATATTTGGGCTACATTTTTTGCAAAATATTATCAACGACAAACTTTTTTTTTTCAAAAGTTTGATTAGGGTTTACACCATTTCCCTTCGATCTCACGAATAACAGAGTACACTATCACCGGGTAAGAGGATCTAGGTCTGAATCTCCCTATATTGTACTTCTGCAATGACTAGTAAACTTTGTATTAAATTAAAACCAATAATGTTTAACTCTAAATATAAAATGCCCCAATTAGTGGTGTATCTCAAAAAATTATCGCTTTTTCTATACGATTTTTCCTACCGCTTTTACCTACTGGCCAATCATAAACTGCAAATCCCTACTGGGCAATGATAAGCTGCTACCATGAGGCAGGCCGTATGTATCGTTGACGTGGAATAAACAGCTTTTGTTCTATAACAACCTCTATGATTTTAACATGCTTTCGGTTGTTTTAAATATTTGGCGCATTTTGGAACTCTGTTGAACGTAATTTCATTCGTGGAATAGTCTTATTAAATACCACTGGTTGGAAATTCTCCCCTCGTTTCGGGAGTCGGGGATTTATCGACTATGTCCATAGCACTCTTAGTATTTCCTAGGATTCATTTTACCCACGTGCATTCATCGTGCCTGAACGGCTTTGACCAAGCGACTGTCCGCCACCGCGGTGCTGCAAGCCTGCGTGGAGAGTGACGGCAGTGTGTTGCGCAGCGTGCGTGCGGCGGGCGCCGTGGCGCGTGCTGGGCGCCCGGGCAGCTGGCGGAGGAGGAGGAGGTGGAGGAGGTGGAGGAGGAGGAGGGGCGGCGGAGCGCAAGACGACGCAGTTGCGGCGTCTGCTCACCTCCCCGGAGCTCAGCTTCCTCATGGAGGCGCACAACGGCCTGAGCGCGCGCATCGTCGACGAGGCGGGTGAGCCACGCCCGCGCGCTCGCTCGCGCAAGGGCAGCACCGGCGCCAACGGGCATGGCGACACGAGGGGTCGAACTAAGAGAGGGACCGGGAGGCAATTGTGCGGGGTGGAAAGAAGGTGGGGTTGGGAGTCAATTGTGCGGGGTGGAAAGAAGGTGGGGTTGGGAGTCAATTGCTCGGGGTGGAATCAAAGGGAGGGCAATTGCACAGAGCCGAGCTAACTGAGTATGCGGGGGTAGTTGCTTTGAGTCGCACCAGGGGAAAGCAGGAATGGAGTTACCAGGGGAGAAAACAGGAGGGGGGAATTGCTGAGAGTGTAATCAGGGTGAGGGCCATTTCTCGGGCAGAGTCAAGAGGGGATTAAATGCTCGGAGTCGAACCAGGGGGACCATGAGAGGAATTACTAGGGGTGGAATGAGGAGGAGGGCAACTACTCCGGTAAGAATGAAGGAGAGGACAAGAGCTCGATCTGGTACCAGAGGGGAGGATCAGGAGGAACTGCTCGGGGTCCAATCAGGAGGAAGTAGAGGGAGAGGAATTGATGGGTGTGGTATCAGCGAGAGGACAATTTCGCAGGCTGGGACCAGAATGAATAAATACTCGGAGAGGAACCAGGGGGAGCCAAGAGAAATATTCCCGGGATGGAATGAAAAGGGGTGGGGAAGATTACTCGGGGAGGAACATGGAGGACGGCCATAGCTCGGGCTAGGACAAGAGGCCAGGGGTCTATCTCGTGGTCGATTCAAGGGCGGGGTTGTTTCGATGCAACCAGAGGCGGGGAAATGCTGGAGGTGGAAACACGGTGGAATTTATTAGGGTGGAACCAAAGGGGGACAGTGGACAGTTTCTCGGCGTGGAACTTATATGAGGAATTTCTAGGAACCAAGGGTAGCTGCTGTTTGAGATGGAATCAAGGAAAGGTGGTCTATTCTACTTGTAGTAAATGTAAGAGGGCTTGTAAGAAAGCGTGAAGTGTGAGCGTGTGACATTTCGTGCATGTACACGTTTGGCCACGAGCCCGCGTATGTATGCATGAGCTACCGCGCAAGTGTGTGCGTGCTCCCGTGCGCGTGCGCGCTTGCACGTGCGCGTTCTTGTACAAGCACATACAAGTTGGCGCTCTGAAGGGCAGGAGGGTAGGTCAAGCGCTATATTCCAAAGCCTTTGGCTGCGCTAAGGGCAGGCGTGGCGCGGCGGTTGCAGGCTTCGAGGGCGTGTGGGCGTCGGGGCTGTCCATCTCGGCGCAGCTGGGCGTGCGCGACTGCAACGAGGCGTCGTGGACGCAGGTGCTGGAGGTGGCGGAGTTCATGGCCGACGCCTCGCGCGCGCCCGTGCTGCTGGACGCCGACACGGGCTACGGCAACTTCAACAACGCCAGGCGCCTCGTGCGCAAGCTGGAGGAGCGCGGCGTCGCAGGTGGGTCACTGGCGCACGGGGAAGGTAATGGCATGGCAAGGGAAGAGAAAGGGAAAGCAAAGAAAGGAGAATTAAAATGGAAAAGGCAAGGTAAGGCAAGGCAAGGAAATGAAAAGGCAATGGAAAGGTAAGACAAGTAAGGAAATGGAAAGGATCATAAGAGAACGGGGAAGGCAAGGGGAAAATCGTGATGACTTTGGATCACTTAATTCATTGCAATTCTGATACATGTTCCTTGGTCACTTATTTGGTCATAGCTTCTTCGTCCCATTTTTTACTTTTACTAAACCAATTCCTCGTCTAATGGTTGTCTACGCAGGGTGCTGCATCGAAGACAAGTGCTTCCCTAAGACCAACTCGCTCCTGGACGGCAGACCGCAGCCACTAGCAGACATTGAAGAGTTCTCTCTCAAAATCCAGGTGAATTCTCAAGTGACAACTCTGCGGATTCTTTCTTAATTTGTATTGTTTTAAATAAAAAGATTGTCCATACACAAATGGATTGGCCATGTGGCATTTACACGTAGGCTATGCATTTGTGTATGGACAATATATCTATGGAAAAAAATCTAGAAGTAAAGCCATGTGGCATTCTATGTGATCGCTTACAGTGGAATAATCATTGTTGCGATTGTTCTGTGACCGCATACAATAGAATCTTCATTCAAAGAGCGTCCGATATACTTCAGAAAGTATCAGAATCGCTTTGTTTTCTGTCGTTTACCTATGTTCCTGGAAAGATATGTTACACGTCTCCCGAGATGACACATTTCGGTGAACTGTGTGCCCACTACTTAAATCTTCACATATTTACACTTATTAACAGTTATTAAACAGAACACTAATAGTTAATCATTCATTGTTTTCCGAATCCTTAACAAATGCTCCAAATAAAAGCGCTGCAATAAATTACAGGCAGTATTTTTGATTAATTATTTTGCATTCAATATATTGCTTTGCGAATTTTGCAAAGAAAATAAATCGCATACAGATCTTTACGTCCATTTCTTTAACTCACAACTATTATTTTTCTCAAGACGATCAAAATTCAACTGCTGAAAACTGACGCAATAATGAAGCGAAAGCGAAACCAAAACCTTTATTCTCTCATCCTCATCTATATTATTTCTAATTTAAAACATGTTTTCATCGCCATCGAAAACATTATGGTGGTGTATCGATTTGTATCTATATGTATCGATGTTTGGGCCCCATTTGCGGTGGTGCGCAGGCGTGCAAGGAGGCGCAGCGCGACGCGGACTTCTGCGTGGTGGCGCGCGTGGAGGCGCTCATCGCCGGCTGGGGGCTGGCGGAGGCGCTGCGCCGCGCAGAGGCCTACCGCGCCGCGGGCGCAGACGCCCTGCTCGTGCACAGCAAGCGCCGCGACGCCGCCGAGATCGAAGCCTTCATGGCCGAGTGGCGCGGACAGGTGAGCGTCCCCTGGCATTCGGGGCGCGGCAACTGCTAAGGTTATTCGCTTCCGAAAGAGTAATGCACGTTTTCATCGCCGAGAGGTTTTGGTTCATCTCCCCACGCAGGATGGCGAGATCCGTCGTCGGCAAGTTGGATTTTCTATATCTAGTTAGCTCTCATCAGCGGGTTGGTTAGATCTTACCGACTTCGGGCGCGTTTACTACCGAGGTCATTAGTCCCGTAAATATAGTGCAAGTTTTCCCCTCTCCGGAGATCGCGGTGATCTTCGCCCGCTGCATGGGGAGATTCGGCTGTCGTCAGAAAGCGGGATTCCCCAACCAGAATCTCCCACCAGCGGGGCACCGCCCCATCCGGGACAAACTAAGCTCACGGCATGCGTGGTCATTGGAAGTAGAAGTGCATGTAAGTGTATGTAAGTATCCAAGGAATGGGGATAGGACTAGGAAGAGGAAGGGAAGACCGCGCGCGGTACGGGGCCCGATTGCTAGGGTACATATCTAGACATTCGCCTGATGAGGAACAGCGGAAAACAAACCGATCTGAGCAGCCAACCGCTACAATTCTCCTCCAGACAGCGCTGTGAGTCTCCGTGAGGTTGTTACAAGAGGATATCGTCGAAGCGAAGAGAAAAAACACAAATATTTATTAGGAGTCGAATACTAGAGCATGGCGCTGCATATTGGGATCCTTGTAGAAAAGGTCAGATAAATTCTCTTCAAAGTATTCAGAAAATAGAAATAAAATGTATTTATAGAGGAAAGTTGTTCGGTAATGTTTCTAATCATTTATTGACACGGTATTCCATAATTGACGCGTTAAGTCATAAGAGATAAAATAAGGTGTATAAACATTGATTTAGGTTCGAATTTGAGGAATAATCGGCAAACCGAACCCTCCCCTTCCTGGTAAAGAAAACCCTCCTCGCGGCAACATGAAATTTTACAATAATTCTACATTTAGGAAATGTCGTTCACAGAATTCGGTCCGAGTAGAAAAAAATAAAAAATTCGGAATATTTTTCTTTTTCCACCCTCAGGGCTTACTAAACAAGTATTTAAATTTGGCCTGAATTTTACTGAAAAATTGTACACATCCATAATTCTTTAGTAAGCTCTGAGGATGGAATAGTAAAATATTCCGATACGTAGGCAAACTAATGGTTTAATTTTTCTACTCACCCCGGCCAAACCCCATTAGCGACATTTCCAAATTCTACATCATGGTCCTGAATTCTGCAAAAGGTTAATAATTCTACACGTTACTTGCAATGAAGCCCCGTCACCCAAAGTCGGTGGTCTTCTCGGGACGTGTGTGGTTCCAATGGTGTGCGTTGTGTGGCAGGGGCCGGTGGTGATCGTGCCCACCAAGTACCCTACCACCCCGACGCAGCGCTTCCGCGAGATGGGCGTGTCCGCCGTCATCTGGGCCAACCACAACCTGCGCGCCTGTGTCACCGCCATGCAGAACACCTCGCAACGCATCATGCGGGAGCAGTCCATTGCGGGCGTCGAGGCCGAGGTACGTGCAGGCATTCGCCTTTGACGATGATCGACAACCTCTCATGTCACAGAATTGGCAGATTTTTACATTTTGGAATAAATGGTTCAGAATTGGCGATTTTGATTACATTTCGGAATCAATGGTTCAGAATTACCCATTTTGATTACAATTCGGAATCAATGGTTCAGAATTGGCAATTTTGATTACATTTCGGAATCAATGGTTCAGAATTGGCAATTTTGATCACATTTCGGAATCAATGGTTCAGAATTGGCAATTTTGATTACATTTCGGAATCAATGGTTCAGAATCGGCGATTTTTACGTTTTGGAATCAATGGTTCAGAATTTGCTGTTTTTTAGTTTGATAGTAAATGTCCTAAGAAAACTAGAAATTGTGATCTTAAAATAGAAAAAAAACCTTCGTGACCTTTAAAATTTAATCATAATAGAATATCTCGTGTAGTAAGAGGCACATGAGAGATTTGTGCAAGATGCTTTCAGAAAAATATTACAATAAATAAATATTTAATACTATTAT